ATTGGTGGGGACAAATTTGTCATCTCAAAATATTGATTGGGACTAGTACCTAGCGTCCCCCCCTAAACCTACGCCCTTGACTATCCGTCTCTTTTTAGGTGGGTTGGTAGGCCTACGTCCACACTGAGAGAAATGCTCCTGCCGGAATGAGTCGCGTCGCATCTCCTTCAGTGTGCTCAGGGAAGCTGTCACCACTTCCCCTGCAGTGCACAAATCCACTGTTTGTGACTGCAGAATTGAATTGCGTGGCTTTAGCGCACCAAGTATATGCAGAAGAAATTTGCCAGTGTCAAAGAAGTTCTGTCTGTTAAGCTGGGTCAAAAGAGCACATGCCTCTGTGTTAATGACAAATGGAGCACTGTCATCCTCTGCTATCTCAGACAGAAGCCTCCTGATGACATCCTCATTGTGATCAATACACTTGATGACATCATGATGACTGATAGTCGTTTCAGTGTGGGTGTACTGTATCTATTCGCAACATAATGTCTGTAACAAAATGTGTTCAGTGAACTGGACCGGTCAAAGAACTGCTTTGCCACAGGTTCTGCATGCATTGTGTAGCAACATTGAGAATGGACCAAACACGAGGGAAGCGTTCGTACATAATCAAACACAAGGGGCTGCATATTCCAGATTATCCCCAGGCACTGGAGCTAAGAGACCCTTTTGTTGCTTAACTAAAGGAAGAATGTTGTCAATGTTTTATAATTTGGCAAGAATAGATCTGTTCAGAAATGGTGAAACAAGAAGCCTTTCTTTAAGGACCAAGGTCTCATGATATGCGAACTAAACTCTCACGTGGTACACACCACGGATGTACGGTGGCCGAGACAGCTCAACGCGCTGCAACTGAAGCAAACACATACAAATAGAGAAAAACGCGTGCAAATAGAAAAAAACGCATGCAAATAGAAAAACACGCGTGCAAATAGAAAAAAACACCTGCAAATTAAAAAAAACATCTTCATCAGTTTCACAACACACGTGTGCTCCAAATAAGGAAACGCGCTGCAAAAGTTCACAACACAACCAAATACAGAAAACACGCTGCAAATAACACAGACCACAACGGAAATGTTTCCAGGGGAACCAAATAAGTGACGGACCCGGCCGAGACGTGCTTATTGCTCGTGAGCTTCCCTATGCCATACTCCCTTCGAAGGGCAGATTGCAGAGCCCTTTTGGAGTGAGCAAGGCTCTAGTGTGCTGTTAGGCAGCCGTGTGGAGCGCACTTGATGAAGGGAGCAACTAAAGACAACGTGGGATGTTCCCATGACAACGCAGCACGGTGTCCATCAGCTGGTCTTACGACAGAAATATGATGCTGTTAACATAACGGATGCAAATACATTTTTATTTTTAGTTTACAAAAAAAGCTTTTAAAATATGCGTTATATATCTGTGTCTCAACTTTAAAATGTTGGACCCTACATTACCTAACATTTCTTACGAAACTTTTCTTTATGAAAATGTAATAACATGAAACAATTTGTACAGTGTAACTGGTGTATAGATAAATATCTTTCCTTCATGATTTTCTTCTTTATCTTTTTTATTTATTTATTTTAGTTTCCAGCTCATTGTTCTTTTCTCATTTGTATTCTGATGACATTGAACAAATTGTTAATACATTTTGTACATTGTATACAAGTTGTATGTCATAAAAAATGTAATTTCTGTATGTTTTGCACAAACAAATAAATAAACAAACAAATAAATAAAGTATAATGTTAAGCTGTAAGCACCATCACGCATAGATTTATGGATATCTATGCCAGCACGTCCCAGCCGGGTTCGTCACTTATTTGGTTCCCCTGGAAACATTTCCGTTGTGCTCTGTGTTATTTGCAGCGCGTTTATGTATTTGGTGGTGTTGTGAGTATTTGGAGCACACGTGTGTTGTGAAACGGATGAAGATGTTTTCTTAATTTGCAGGTGTTTTTTTTTATTTGCACGCGTTTTTTTCTATTTGCATGCGTTTTTTTCTATTTGCATGCGTTTTATTTTATTTGCATGTGTTTTGTTTTATTTGCACGCGTTGTTTTCTATTTGCATGCGTTTTCTTCAGTTGCAGCGCGTTGAGCTCTCTCGGCCACCGTACGGATGTGACAGATGCGGACCATAAGGATACCCACACACACACACACATAAGGACTTTCTTACATATTAAAATCCATAAAACTCTTCCCAGGACGATTCTCGATGGACTTTGATTATATGTTGTTTCTACAATATATGTGTGTGTCTCTCATATGCTTAAATGCCATACAATTCATAATTGTTATAAATATTAGAGATACTGGAATGAAAGTGTCGTGTTTCCTATCATTATGCTCGTATGTGTTTAATTCAAAAGATGGCTTGATTGAAATCTGTGTAAAAATGTTTATGTTCTTAAAATGGAAATTATGTCTAAACTGAATCCTCTGTTTCGAGCTGATGAGTAAGCAGACCACAGAGGACACATGATTCGCGATGAGAGAAGGGGGGGGATAGAAAAGACCCCCCTCTCAAATAACCACATAGTATCTTATTGTCCGAATTCCAAATTCCTCCAGGAGGCGGGACAAACATTTTGAGTTTAAAATCTTAGACCCGGACACAGAATCTCTGCTCTCTGAACTCTCTTGTGATCGAGGCTCTTGTGATCCTCGCTCTTGTGATGCTCTCTGAACGCTCTCGGGAAAAGCTCTCTGGACTCGCTCTCTAAGCTCTTGTGATGCCCGACGCCGGGTGGAGCCGACGATGGTTATAGTAACCATGTAGACGCAGAGACAAATGACCCAAATCAAGATATGGGTTAAAACAGATTTAATTGAAGCCATCTCGTCACACTTTCCTTTCTTTTCTTAGTTTGTTTCTTTTCCGTTAAAAGTCTCGGTTCTAAGTTAAGTGTTGCTGCAAAGTTTCGTTTTAACGTTTCAACTGCAAAACCAGCTTTCAACTTCAAAGACTTTCATTCATCCGCGCCAACACACCACGTGACTGGCTGTCCAAAGATCTATCCAGGCACACGAGAAGATCAGCCAACCAACGGACCGGGAAACCCCCTTTACGACAAAAAGGAGAATCCCCAAAGCTACGCAAAGGACAAGCAAGTAACGCCTCCAGACGTAACTGACCTGGTGCAATTTATATCAAATTGAATTACCCGCCTAAGAAACGATACAAGGGTGAAATTAATTGTTGATGGTTCGTTCAGGTCATGTCTTTTAAGTGCATATAGAAACTTGGGATCTCACCATCTAACTCCTAAAACTCGTTCTTCCTCACTCTCTGTCTTTCTTCAACTTGTATGAATGCGTGTGCGTGTGATTGTGTTAGATATTTGTTTTGTGTGTTAGTCATAGGCTTATAATCAATAAAGTATTGTTTGTATTTGAAAAGAGAAGCATTACTTGTGATATGTGCTTACCGATTTATTGTCTTGAACTTCGATCTAAGTTACCTATGCTTTGACCCTTGATTTATTTCTTAATTAAGCTGTTAGCTGGGAATTAGTCTTTCTTGGCCAAGAAGATATTATATTTCCTAGAATTAATAATTGTTTATGCTTTCCATTCATTGGATGAACTGATAAACTGATCATATTATTGATTTTGCTACAGTAAATTCTGAAAATAATTCAATTATTAATTATTGATCATAATCCGTTATGAATAATAATTAATTATACTTATACGTGCGTACAATCGCTACAATTGCATGTACCACTGCCAAATGGAGTTGGTGGTTGTAGCAGTGCCCAGATTGGATATCTTTACCCAATTTGTTTTGCAGCAAAGCCTGCACACCGCCCCTCACTCCTGACATGACAGAAGCACCATCATAACACTGAGACACTAAATTGTCACCATTGTAACCCAGGTCAGACAGATTAGACAGAATTTGAGCATCCTCTCCCAGAGGCAATGAAGGAGACAGGGAGAACCAGAGTGGGCAATGCGTAGTCATGCTCAAAGCAAACAAATCCACTTCCACTCAGCCGAAACTATGCCACATGAGGCTTGCCACTAGAGGGTGTAGTGTTCTTGGCCTGTGCCCAAAGGAGATCATTTTTCTTCTCCTTCAAATATTCTTATTTACTATTTACATATTGAATTGTTGAATCGTTTATAGTTTGAGATGACAGACATTATAAAAACTCCCTTGGAAAAGAATATAAGATTGTTGATTAGATTTGATCATATTCAGAAATATTAGTTGATGTCAGCGCTGATATTAGTGTTTATTGACTGATCTGATGTCAGTTTGATGTGTTTATTCCTCAGACTCTGTCCACTGTTGTGGTCCTACTGAAGCTGTGATCTGATTGGTCCTCTCTGCTCTGGTGGGCGTGGCTACTGTCATCATTCTGGGGTGCTTCTCATTTCTTATTTGTGCATCCTCGTTTCCTTTCCTCGCGTCTCAGCTCCACCCCCTGTAGGACGCGAGGGAAGGCTGCAAGGAAAGAAAAGGAGGACGGAGGAATCGAAGGAAAGTTTTTTTTTATACATTGGAATACTTGATCACTCGAGCGTCACTTCACTGCGTCATCAGCAGCGCTCAAAGTATCTGCCCTTATGTTGTTGAAGTTTGGCTATTTAAGAAATTTGTAATAAATAATAATAAAGCAAGATACCCTGTTGAAATATGTGAGATGTGTGGTTTATATAAACTGCAATGGTAAAGTATAAATTAAAACGATTGTGACCAACGTGAAGGGGGAGGAGAATTTATATGTGCGTCAAGTTTAGTCGATAAAACACTTCCGCAAAGCATGCAACTGTGCATCCTGGCTCATAGCTCCTCTGGACGCTCCTCACTCCTCGATCCTCGCCTCCTCGCGGTGCAATTAGAGAATTGAGATGTCCTTCAAGATGGCTGAGCTCGATCGGTTTCCGGGTCATAGGATGGAGGACGGAGGAGCGAGGAGACGAGGAGGGATATTGAGAAGCACCCCTGGTTTATGACATCAGATCCATTAATTTTTGGCTTTATATTTTTATCTTTTTTAGGAAGTATTGAAATCTAAAGCAGAACGCTGAACTTTAAAGGTTCTTCAAGTGTGTTTTTTTGTTCTTCTAGTGTTTTTTTTTCCATAATAAATACTGAATAATTGAGCTTGACGATTTTTGAGGTTTAAAGAAAATCTTATTTGTAAGCCTTTATTGTTTATATTTCTCTCAGATACAAAAAAATAATAATAAAGAGACATAGATCTCACTTTACTATTGCTGTATATTTGCTGTATGTATTTTCTTGCCTTTATCAATAAAGTTTCTCACTCTGAGTATCAAGAGTCTCTCCATGATTTATTGCATTTATTATGTTGAGCGCCTCCTGGAGGAATACTAACTTTATGTATATTTTAAAGATTTCAGAAGTTTGGAACATATAAAGCTTTACATTTTTTTAAATATTATTTAACAATACTGATAGGCATACTGTTTTTCTATCTACAATAATAAACAAACAACTTCCACCTGAGAAACATGCTGATTTGTAGGGATGTCCCGATCAGGTTTTTTTGCCCTGGAGTCCGAGTCCGAGTCATTTGATTTTGAGTATCTACCGATACCGAGTCCCGATCCGATACTTATATAATACATAAAAAAAGAATAAAGAAGAGAGAAAAAAACTTCTGTGAGGTAGCTTGAACAATCAAGTAATAAATAACATAAAATCTTCACTTTTGGACTTTAGTGCAACAGTAAATATAGAAAAAGTCTAATATAAAAACAAATAGCACCTCAACTTAAAATACCTGGCAGGCATGTAAGCAAAAAATTAAAATGTTTTAAAAGTGTATAAAAAAATTATGAGAATATATATATACATTAGGGGTGTAACAGTTCACAAAATTTGCGGTTCGGTTCGATACCATACAGCAAAAAGAAAGAAATGCCAGAGAAATTTCCTATTTATTTAAAGAAAAACTATTTTTAAATAAGTTTGAGTTTTCCTACATCTTGAAACTTTCAGGTTTATAAATGGGGGTAATCTTTGAAGTATGAACAAATAATGTTTTGGTAATCACATTAAAAATAACATTTAAATATACATTTATATAGCCTCATATTTGAGTTTTGAAGTGCAACATTAAATCCATGTTCATTCACGGCACAATGTTTCTCCTGGTTCCCACGTCAGCGCTGTTTGATCTAATAGAGATCTACGGTTAATAACGGAGAAATGTGAATGCTTCTCACTAGATCTCGCAGCGATGTTATTACTTCAGTGGCGAATTCAAATGTTTTCTTCACTGGATCTCTTAGCACAGTGTCGCTTGATCTCGCGCTGCACAGATGTTGCTGGTCCGAACTGTTAAATGGTCCGTTAAGCACAATATAATGAGAAGCCCAGTTTCGTTCCGCTTTCATTACGTTTGCCATTTGATGTTGCGCAACGTTGTGGTGATCGCGCCAGCGCGGATTTTGTCTGCAGGAAAAATGGTCCTAGGAATCGTTCGGTTTGTATGCGTACCGAACCGGAAGCCTCGTACCGAAACGGTTCAATAATTACGAATACATGTACCGTTACACCCCTAATTTACATATATCCGAGTCCTGATCGGGAGGTAACGTCCGATTGCGATCGAGTCTGAAACCACGTGATCGGGCCCGATTTCCGATCGCGTGATCGGATCGGGACATCCCTACTGATTTGTGACACATTATAAAATACTTTGAGATCACAGTGAAATACATAAACATAACATATCGATGGTCCATTTCCTCCAACAGGGAACGATAAAGTCTTTAAATCTCTTGTGTGATCAAGGGGGTAATCCACCAGCCGGAAACTGAAGTCTCCCCAGGAGCCGCCATTGGCTAGCAAGCCTTCACCTGCTGTTAGCATTCCACTGACTCCCATTCATTTTGGCGTCACTTTGACAGTGAATAACTTTACATCTGAGGCGTTTAAAGACTCCATTTGTCCATTATTTATTTCTAAAGAAACACGACAATGTATAAAAGGCTCCATTACCTTGTATCTTACGCTATGAAGCAGTTTTTGTAAAAATAGGCTAACGATTACGTCACAACGCGACTCTCTGTCGCACAGTAGAGAAACTACCGTATAGGGACGTCCCGCGTGACGTCACGCCATTTGGAGCAGCCATCTTGACGGAATAGAAAATGCTAAACCGCCAGTGATAATACAGCTCGTCGCGAAATATTCCTATCATGCCCGAGCGATGCTGTGCATTTTGATGCGATCAGATACGTGATCATACAAAAGGAATATCTTTATACTGTATCCCAAAAGAAACAAAACGGAGAAAAGTGGTTGGCGGCAATAAACAGGCAAAACGCATACATGCATTCCTAGACCAGTTAATTTGTTAGGCGTATTAGCACATTACATTCTTTAGTTTTCAAATACCAAAAGCTGATACTGTATTTTTTTTTTAGACACTTCTTATAAATCGTTAGAAACACAGGTTGAGACAACAGTCTCAATGAGAGTTTATCATTACAGTGACAGTCAGTGATAAGTATAAAAAAGTATATAGGCTATTATTTCGTTTTTCTTGGATCAAACTAGATTAAACAAATTCATTAAAGATACATTTAATCTTGTTGGTGATTTTGTTTTGTGTTTTTCCCTGTAAACTCAGTTTAAAAATGATTACAGGTAGCCTACTATAATTTGGTGATAAAAATACATTGACCAACCTTTGCGGTGATGATTGAAAAATAATTTTCTTTTAATAAAACTCCGGTGTAGCGTGATGGGATGTGAATAAGGTAGCTGTAATGTCACCGAACTCAATGTCAGGAAGTTTTTCTACACATGGATGTAGCCGACGGATGTATTCCGTCAAAATGGCTGACACGCGGCTAGGGGTCACGTGACTGGGAGATCCCTATAGACAGGAGGAGAAGCTTGCGCGCAATCGGGGGGACGTGGAGGCATAAAGTCAAAGGAGAAGCCCATAGAGAGTTGTAAAGTTGCTCCTGCTGCTCGTTCATGGATAGCTATAGTCACGATCTCTGGCTCTGCAAGATTCGGAAGGGAATGATTCAGATTCCTCTAGGCACAGCTGCTAGAAGACGTACAACTGTGAGACCGGTTGCTCACGTCACATCTCCGTCGTCGAGCTCAGTTTGAGCCTGCGCAGTGCGCTTGGCAATCAGGAAGATATGCTTTTAATTGACTTCACTTTTCTCTGTTGAAGTCTATGGGGTCTCTGTGTCCATTTCTTTTACTGTCCATTACTGATTTGTCTCTGTGGTCTCGTCTGAGGAGCAACTCCTCCGTCTAGTGACTCACCCTGAACTCACATGTTATCAGGAGTTATTTACGCAGTCTCTGTGATGAGATCCAGTGATTATGTCGTTACTCAAGAAAGCCACTAGCCAAAGCCAACACGCTGTGTTCAGTGTAATGTGACGAATACACTATGCAACGAAGAGTAATGAAGAATAAAACCACATGTTGAAGTGTTCAGAGAAAATAAACTGACATGTTGAGACTGCACTGAGAAATATTTTATTCAAATCACTGAACAAAACATGATATTAAGAGTGAACTCAAACTAAAAACAGCTCACTGGATATTTTCTCTTTTTCAGACCATTCTCTGTCGACACCTTTATTTATATAGCGCTTTTTACAGTACAGATTGTTTCAAATCTACGGAGCCCCTAAAGGGACGTGGTAGTGTAAAAAAATTAGAATGGGAGATTTTTTTTTTTTTTTTTTGTAAATCTTTTGCGTTCCCTCGCAAAACTTTTGCGTTCCCCCGAGAAACTTTGCGTTCCCTCGCAAAGATATTTGCGTTGGGAGCTCGGACAGACACTTCCTGTTTAATGTCCCTGGCAGTGTTTCAGAGCTCCGCACGTTATGGTGCGTTTCATAGTGTTTGAACTTGGACTCAAATATAAAGAAATCCGGTCAGTACTTAACTCAAGGAGTTCAGTGAAGTTGGCAATATAGGCTATTCGAACTTCCCGGATCAATATTTTTAAGCTAAACGTTGTTAAAACACAAACGACACCTATTTACAATCACAGTAACATAGACAACGAGCTACAACCCAATTCTCCTCAAAACGAGCTTTATAATATAAATTTGTCATTAACCAGCCGATTGAGAGACAAGTCCAAATAAGGGGCCGTCTGCAAAGTGCAAATCCCAAAACCCTTCTGCACATTTTATATTATTAAACATATCAGTAGCTTCACTGCAGGGCTGGACTGGGACAAAAAATCGGCCCGGGCATTTTGGCCCAGACTGGCCCGCTATATAACACAACCGAACTTTGCACGCCCTTGAATATGTATACCAACTCCTATTAAAACCACTAATGCCATAAGTGAATAGGAGTGAGTAAGAGTTAACCGATGAAATAACTACTAAATTGAACTATACTCCACATTGATGAATCCTGAAAGAAAGCTATAAGCTGGGATAGCAATACGGGTTTTTCCCACAAGTTTTTGTGAAATCTGTGGTGAGTGCACCTCTGTCCCGCTAGGGGGGTCCGGGGGCATGCTCCCCCGTAAGAACATTTTGTGCTTTTTAATGTTAAATTCATCAATCTGGTGCACTTTGAGAGTTAAAAATAAAGAGCTCCAACCCATATTCAGTGTACAAATTGAACAAAGAAAAACTCAAAACTGTTTTAGTTGTGATATAGTGTCTGTAGTGTACATTACACTACTACATAATAATAGTTATAATATTAATCCCATGGCAGTAATAGCCATATGTTGTAAAACAAATGCACTGAAAAATAAAAGCAACTTTCATAATTAGTTTCGTACTAATTTCTATACAGAGATAAGCACATGATCTTTTATTTTGACGGAAACGGCATCGAGCTTTTATTTTGAAGAAAAATATGGTTTACAAACTCATTACTCATTATTGTCTCATTACAATTCTAATCAAATGCGTAATCGTCAAATATGCAGATGTGTAAATAATGCGTAACTGGGTAGTGGGTTCCTACATAGCCTAATTGTGTGTTCACACCGAACACGAATTTAATTATTTGGGCGAGTAGCTTACATACAAAGTCAATGCAAAGACGCGAATAGACGCATCATTCGCGCCGGGCGTTGCGAATGACGCGAATTGGGCGACGCGTTTGCCGCGAATGTCTTCCGCGCAAGTTGAAGAATTTGAACTCGAGCGAATGTTCAAGCGTCTCTAACTAAACGCGATAGACGCGTATTTGACGCTCTATTCGTGTTCGGTGTGAGCACACCATAAGTGTTGTGACAGTAGCCTAGTCCTGCTTACCACAGTTCTCTGCACTCACTCATCTCTCTCCTTATCCTCGTCGC